CTCTGTCTCAAAAAAAAAAAAAAAAAAAAAAAACTCCTGTCTCAGACTAAGGCACCCTCCACAATGCATGGCTATTTTCTTTTTTTAGAGATGGGGTCTTGCTCTTGCTCAGGCTGGTCTCAAGCAATCCACCCACCTCAGCCTCCCAGAGTGCTAGGATTCTAGGCATGAGCCACTACACCCAAGCCAACCTCAAACTCTTAGGCTCAAGCCATCCTCTTGCATCAGCTTCCTGAGTAGCTGGGACTATAGGCACCCACCATGATGCCCAACCTGTTTTTCTAATTTTAGTAGAGATGGGGTCTTGCTCTTGCTCAGGCTGATCCTAAACTTCTGAGATCAAGCAATCCACCTGCCTCGGCCTCTCAAAGGACTAGAATTATAGGTGTAAGCCACCATTCCCAGCTGCTATTTTCTTTTTTTTTTTTTTTGAGATGGGGTCTCTCTCTATTGTTCTATTTATAGTGCAATGGAGTCACCATAGCTTGCTGTACCCTGAAACTCCTGTGCTAAAACAATCCTCCTGCCTTAGCCTCCCAAGTAGCTGAGTCTATAGGTGTATGCCACCATGCCAGGCTAATTTTTTCGTTTGGTAATAATAGTCTTGCTCTTGTTCAGACTGCTCTTAAACTCCTGAGCTCAAGTAGTCCTCCTACCTTGGCTTCCCAGAGTGCTAGGATTATAGGTATGAGCCACTTCACCCAACCTGGCTAATTTATGAAAAAAAATTTTTTTTGTAGGGATAGAGGTCTTACTATGTTGCCCAGCCTGATCTCAAACTCCTGGCCTGAAGTGATCCTCCCACAAAAGTGCTGTTACTATAAGTATCAGCCTCTGTGCCCAGCCTCTATAATGTAGAATTAAAAGATATAAAAGGTGGGGCAGTACCTGTGGCTCAAAGGAGTAGGGCACCAGCCCCATATGCCAGAGCTGGCGGGTTCAAACCTGGCCCCAGCCAAAAACTGCAAAAAAAAAGATACAAAAGGGTATTCCTCCCCATCCTGTCATATACAGAGATACAATCTGTCATTGCTTCTTGTGTCACTTTCCTGGGATTTTTTGTTTTTGTTTTTGAAACAGTCTTACTATGTCACCCTCAGTAGAGTTCAGTGGCATCATAGCTCAAAGCAACCTCAAACTCCTGGGCTTAAGCAATTCTCTTGCCTCAGCCTCCCAAGTAACTGGGACTACAGGTGCCCACCACAACTCCCTGGCTATTTTTGCAGTTGTCATTGTTTAGCTGGCCTGGACTGGGTTCCAACCCGCCACCTTCTGTGCATGTGGCCGGTGCTGTAACCACTGTGCTACCGGCACTGAGCCTTTCCTGGGATATTCTATGTGTGGGAAATTATTTTTCTTTTTTTTTTTTTTGAGACAGAGTCTCACTATGTTGCCGTCGGTGGAGTGCTGTAGCATCACAGCTCATAGCAACCTCGAACTCTTGGGCTTAAGTGATTCTCTTGCCTCAGCCTCCCAAGTAGCTGGGACTACAGGCACCGTCTTCAACACCAGGCTATTTTTTGCTTGTTGTCACTGTTGTTTAGCTGCTCCAGGCCAGGCTCAAACCCGCCAGCCTCGGTGCATGTGGCTGGCACCCTACTCACTGAGCTATAGGCACCAAGGCAATATTTTTCTTTTTTGAATTTACAAGCACTGACTAGTTATGACATGGCAAGCACTATTCTAAGCATTTTAGAATCATCTGAAGTATGTGTTATTGGCTAGGCGCCAGTGGCTCAAGTGGCTAAGGCACCAGCCACATACACCTGAGGTGGCGAGTTCGAATCCAGCCCAGGCCCACCAAACAACAATGACGGCTGCAACCAAAAAAATAGCCAGGCGTTGTGGCGGGAGCCTGTGGTCCCAGCAACTTGGGAGGCAGAGGCAGGAGACTCGCTTGAGCCCAGGAGTTGGAGATTGCTGTGAGCTATGCCACGGCACTCTACCCAGGGGGACAGCTTGAGGCTCCGTCTCAAAAAAAAAAAAGTATGTGTTATTATCATCTTCACTTTGTAGTTGGAGAAACTGAGGTATAGTGACTTGTGCAGGGTCACACAGGTGTGAGAAAGCCAGGATTATATAATTTTAAGGCAGGTATGCTGGCTCCAGGGTTCCTTCACCATGAGTATCTTAAATGTTGGTGGCTCTTAACAAATGGGATACATAGGAGGTAAAGACATGTCTGAGTGATGTTTCCAGTGGAGATATCTTTTATTTACTAGAATCCACCTTTCCATTTCTCTGTCCTAGCTTCTCTGTAGGGGCTGGGGTCACAAGCTTCCACCCCTCTTATTCTTTGCAGATGCCTGTGTCCAACGACTGGACAGGTGCATCAGATCCCACCGAGCCCCACATTGTAGGTAAGGCCCAGGCATGAGGCTCTTAAGTCTCTGATGTGTCCCAGGCCCTTCAAGGTTCCCACTGACTCTTCTGGGAGGGCTCTTTTGGCCTTTGAGAAGAGCCCCTCAGCCAGGGCACCAAGACATGCCTTTTTCCACATCAGGAATCCAAAGTCCTGATCAGCAGGCTGCCCTGGCCCGCCACAACCCAGCCCGACCTGTCTTCGTTGAGGGCCCCTTCTCCCTGTGGCTTCGAGACAAGTGTGTCTATTACCACATCCTCAGAGCTGACTTGCTGCCTCCTGAGGAGAGGGTAAGGGCCCAAAAAATGTATGGGAGCTGGGGGATGGGCTGGCACCACTCTGAGGCCTCATGCTAGAGGCTGGGAGTGTGGTGGTACAAGGCCCTGGGTCTGACCCTGCCTGCACTTCCCACCTTGGAGTAGGAAGGGGAAGAGATCCCAGAGGAGTGGAATCTCTACTATCCAATGCAGCTGGACCTGGAGTATGCGAGGAGTGGCTGGGATGACTATGAATTTGACATTGATGAAGGTAAAAACGTGGACAGGCTCCAGACACCACCAGTTTGAGGGTGGCCTCTGGACTGGAGGGATGAGCCTTGACAGCCTGTTTGCCTCCCCCTCCCATGCATATATCATGTGTTCCAGGGGCTCCAGGCCTGAGGCCACCCTGCCTGTCAGCCCTTTGGCACACATTTAATGGAGCACCTCCATGCTGGGGTCTGAGTGTAACCAGAACAAACTTACTCCCTTGGTCAGTAGGGGAACAGGAAGGTACATTTGGGGAAAACGTATGCCACCTAGCCACCAGAAGGGATTAGGAGGGCTTCCTGTCAGAATCCGGAAGAGCCAGGAGGCATCACCCAGGTGAAGTGTGGATTGGCCAGCCTAGGCAGAGGGGTTAGCTTGTGCAAAAGTCTGGAGGCACAAGAAAGTGAAAGGGAGGTTAAGGTACTTCAAAGGGGTGTCCTTTCTATCCCTGGCACAAACTCTGAGGATCCATCTCTCTCAACAGTGGAGGAAGGCCCTGTCTTCGCCATGTGCATGGCAGGTGCTCATGACCAGGCAACACTGGCCAAGTGGATCCTGGGCCTGCAGGAAACCAACCCAGCCCTGGCCCAGATACCTGTGGTTTTCCGCCTGGCGGGGTCCACGGGGGAGCTCCTGACGACCTCCCCAGGGCTGGAGGAGCAGCCACCACCACCACCACCTAAGGGCCAAGAGGAAGATGACACTGTGCAGCGACAGCAGCAGGGCCAGAGTTGAGACTGAGCAAGTCGCAGGGCACAGACTATGGCCCGAGGAGGTTATGGACTGGTGTGGAAGCATGAGATGACCTTTAAGTGGACAGCAAATAAAAGTTGTCTTGCCTGAGGCTGCCTTATCTCCTCTCTGGCAGTGTGGCATCAATTCCCCAGCATCTCAGGCTGCCAACGATTGGCAGGTGAGAACGCCTAAGATACATGTCTTCTTCTGGTTCTATTTTCTCAGGGCTGGTCACAAACCATCAGTCTTCCCCTCTATTAGAAAGTTTAACCAAAGGAAGAACCAACGGAGAGGCAAGTAAATGGCACGCATGCGCAATATTTGCTCCCGGTGTCCTTTTGGCGCCGTGGGGCAGGGAGAGACCATGAGAAATTTCCCGACGGCGCGAAAGATGCACGCCATTTCCGGTCGGGCTCCTAACAACAGGGGAGGCTGGTAACCAAGGTGGGGGGGATGGCGGAGAGGGCGCAGGAGCCCGAGGCGGAGGCTGAGACGGGCGCAGGCGGGGAGGCCGCGGCCGAAGAGGGCGCGGCGAACCGAAAGGCGCGGGGCCGGCCACGGCTCACGGAATCAGACCGGGCCCGGCGGCGGCTCGAGTCCCGGAAAAAGTACGACGTGCGGCGCGTGTACCTGGGCGAGGCACACGGGCCCTGGGTGGACCTGCGTCGCCGCAGCGGCTGGAGCGACGCCAAGCTCGCCGCCTACCTCATCTCGCTGGAGCGCGGCCAGCGTAGCGGTCGCCACGGGTGAGGGGGCCCGGCCAGAGGGAGGAAGAAGGGAGGGAGGGGGGTGTGGAGGGGGGGTGCAGGTAGAATGGTACGAGGGAATTGGGAGGAAGGGAGGAAGAAGGGAGGGAGGAGACATCCCCATCCCCCGCCGAGCCTAGCCCCGCCCCCCCTCTGTCTAGTGACCGGGTTCCAGGCACCTGCGAGCCCCGCCCAGGGGCCGGGCGCCAGCTAGGGTCTCGCGCTGCCAGTCCTGGGATGCGCCTGGCTCGTGGCTCCTCCTCCCCTCCGACTACCCAATCCTAGGGCGCGCCCAGCTTTTCGGCCTGCCTCTGGGCGCTTGGCTCCGCCTGCTAGACCTGGGGCTGCTGAGTCCTAGGACAGGCCACACCTCCAGGCGTTGTAACTATCCAGTTCCTGGAAGGGCAACCCCGCCCCTTCACTTTTCTTTTTACATTAAAAAAACTTAAACCACAATAAAACCCCCTACCTGGCCTGGGACTCTTAACTAGGCACCCATATCTTCCCCTCATGAAGTTCTGGTGCCCTACCTGGGCCACTTTCCCATCACTCTAGGCCCCACACACCTGAGGGACCCCTCACAATGTGGACTGCGTTCCCCTAAACCTCCTGGTTCTTTTTTTTTTTTTTTTGAGACAGAGCCTCAAGCTGTCCCCCTGGGTAGAGTGCTCTGGTATCACAGCTCACAGCAACCTCTAACTCCTGGGCTCAAGCGAGTCTCCTGCCTCCACCTCCCAAGTAGCTGGGACCACAGGCGCCCGCCGCAACGCCTGGCTGTTTTTTGGTTGCAGCCGTCATTGTTGTTTTGGCGGGCCCGGGCTGGATTCGAACCTGCCACCTTAGGTGTATGTGGGGCGCCTTAGCCACTTGAGCCACCGGCGCCGAACCAACCTCCTGGTTCTTGGGGAGTAATTCAGCCTAAAGAGACTCAGGTGAAAAGGAAGTCCTGAGTTAATTCGCTGGTCAGTTGAATGGCAGAGACTTTTCTTTGCAAAGTCTCAGTCTTGAGAAGGACAATTGTGAATGGAGTTTTTCCCTTCCTGTGTTATAGGTTGATGTGAGGATGAAGTGAGTTAAAATATCCAAAGTGCTTAGACCAATACCTGACACTTAGTGAGCAGTCTGAGTATTAGCTGTCACAATGGCTATGAGGAGGAGGAGAATAAGGTTTATTGCCTGTCACAACTAGTGCTGAAATGAAATCCTTCTTGCCCCAGGTTTTCAGATGCACATGTTCTTGTATTTCCCCATGAGAAAATTCTGAAGGTCAAGAATCATCTAGATCCTGCTGAAGTGTACCTCTCTGCAGGACAGCAGAAAAGTTTATATGCCCAAGAGCAGGACTGGAAATGCTGAAAGCACCAGCAAAGATACTTGCCTTGGAGATGACAGGCTACTGGGCAGAGGGGGTGTGGCTTGTCTACTGGGAACAAGAAGCATAATAAGCAATTTGTATCAATTTATATAACATATGAGACAGTGAAAGGGGCTATGGAAAAAGCCAAAGTGAAATAGAGAAAGAGGCCTGACAAAGTGGCTTACACCTGTAACCCTAGCACACTGGCTGACATGGGAAGATCTTTTGAGCTCAGAAGTTCAAGACCAGCCTGAGCAAGAGTGCAACCCCATTTCTACTTAAAATAGAAAAATTATCCAGTGGTTGTGGCAGCTGCCTGTAGTCCTAGCTACTTGGGAGGCTGAAATAGGAGGCTCACTTGAACCCCAGAGTTTGAGGTTGCTGTGAACTAGGCTGATGCCACAGCTCTCTAGCCTGGGCAGCAGAGTGAGACTGTCTCTAAAATCTCTCAAAAACCAAACAAAAAAATAGAGAATTCAGGAGTGTGAGTTGGAAATTTAATACAGGATGTTGAAGAAGGCCACATTGAGAAGATAGCATTTGAGAAAATACCCAAGGAGGCCATGCAGGTATCTGGGGAAAGATTTTTGAAATAAGGAATAGCAAGTGCAGAGGCTCTGAGGCAAGCCCCTCCTTGGTGTATGCCAGGGACAGCAAGAGGGCCTGTGTGGCTAGAGTGCAGTAAGCAAGCAGTAAGCAGACAAGACGAGAACAAAGAGGTGATAGGCCAGGTTGAGCAGTGACTTTTGGGCTGCAGAGAATACTCTGCTTTTCCCTCCTAGTGCAGTGAGAGCCCTGTGAGGTATATTTGATTTGCTTAAGTGCAAGATTTTAAACAGAGACATAATGGGCAGCACCTCTGGCTCAAGCAGTAGGGCATTGGCCTCATACACCAGAGGTGGCAGGTTCAAACCCAGCCCTGGCCAAAAACTGCAACAAGAACAAAAAATAAATAAAGAGAGAAGTAACATAATTCTGGCTTGTATGTTAAAAGAAACACTCTCCAGAGTGTGTATGGGTATGTATGGCGGGATGAAAGAACTTCAAACAAGTTGGCCAAGAGCGGACAGTTGTTAAAGCTGGTGATGGGTCCAGAAAGGTTCAGTGTACTGCTCTCCAGTTTTCTGTGTGTTTGAACTTTTCTTTTTACATTAAAAAATTTAAACCACAATAAAAGTAAAAGAATTATATTAACTTTTACATAGAGACTTGGTGGGGGGATGAGGGTGGGAAGGAACCCGGAGACCAGGAAGGAGGCAAGTGCATGGGTCTAGATGAGTGATGACCTGCCTGGGCTGGACCCAGGTGGGGGCATGGAGAGGAGTGGGGTTGAATTTAAGGCCATAATGTTAGCTGTGTGTTGTGGCTACGTGGAAGACTGAGGTGAGGGCATCGCATGAGCCCAGGAGTTCAAGACCAGCCTCAGCAACATAATGAGACCTTGTCTGGAAAAAAACAAAAAGCGGGCCAACAAAGGTTTGCTGCTAGATGGTGGATCTGAAAGAAGCACCGCAAAATTTGGGTCTGAGCACCTGCAAGATTGTAGTTGCTACTAACTTAGAAGGGGCGTTTTGGGGGCAAGGTGACAGCTTACATGTGAGATGCTGTGAGATTCCTTGTATGGAGTGTCCAGGAGGGGTCTGAAGCTGCAGTGTTGAGTAGGGAGAGAATCAGGCTGGAGATTTGAATTTGGGTGTCACCAAGGTCAAGGTCATGTAGTGATCAAAATTTTTGAGGGGATGCTTTTAGACAGAGAACACAGGCCAGGTCTGGCATGCTCTCTTTGCTCAGGGAATTCAGGGAGATGAGAGAGAAGTGACAGCCTTGGACCAGTGGTGAATCAGGTAAGGACTGTACTCAGGAGCCCAAGGGAAGGATCCACTACATCAAATGTTCTTGGCATAGGCAAAATGGCTTGGTGACTGTGATGGAACAGTATATGGTGTGATGGACAAAAGCCCTGAGTGGAGGAGATCAAGGGAGATGGACAAAAGGACAGGGACAGTGAGTTTAGAGAACTCATGCTAAGGGGAGGAGTCAAGGAAATGGGGCAAGAGCTGGCAAGGAAAGAGGCCAAGGTTCCTTTAATTCAAGATGAAAGAAATAATAGCGTATTTGGATGCTGGTGGGAATGAAGAGTAAAAGCAAATGGCCTAGTATTGCAAAGATAGGACCCATGAAGCCCCAGCGGCTGTGGTCCTACATGCCAGTGGCTTCTGCTAGGAGTCATGGAGGTGGTATAGGTTGGAGAAGCGGGCAGAGAAATATGGCCTTCACCCTGTTACACATGACCTTGCTTAATCCCCATGGCAGCCCTGTGTGCTGTGATCCCCAGTTTACAGATGAGGAAACCTCACAGTCCCCAGCTGTGAGTGGGTGAAAGTGGCTGTGAACACTGGGATTGGGGTTTGGATGAGGGTCTAGCCAGGGATCCTCAAACTTTAAACAGGGGGCCAGTTCACTGTCCCTCAAACCACTGGAGGGCCGGACTGCAGGCCCCAGGACCAGTCGGCTGCTAAGCAGGACAGGCAGTGGCGGCAAAAACACCCCGTGGGCCGGATAAATGTCCTAGGCAGGCCGCAGTTTGAGGACGCCTGGTCTAGGCAGCCAGCTGGGCTGTTAGAGGAGATGGTGGATCTATAGGAAGGTTAGAGGCAGCTGGGACAGGGCAGATGGAAGAGAAGAGCCCAAGGTGATGTCCTGGGGACCAGACTTGATATGGGAGTTAGAGTTGTTAGAGGAGTCAGTAGGGGTGGACAGTTTTATTGACAAAAGACACTAGATTGTCAAGATGCTGTGTCAAGGGCAGAAGCTGGGTTTCACAAAAATATTAATAATCATAATGATCATTGCCACCATTTGATGAGCAGTGGTTAAGTGCCAGGAGCCATGCCAAGTTTTTTTTTGTTGTTGAGACAGTCTTACTTTGTCACCCTCAGTAGAGTACTGTGACGTCATAGCTCACAGCAAGCTCAAACTCAGGCTTAAGTGATGCTCTCGCCTCAGCCTGCATAG